CCTTAACAGCAACCCAGGTTATCTTAACTTTGAGGCCTTTCTTCGCAGCGCTTAGATTGTACTAGAGCCATAGGGTGCTTGATGTTTGAAAGGGCGGCCTTAGGGGCAATGCCTCCCCTAGGCCTAGCCCATAAGCCAAAAAATTAGGGTTTAGGGGTTACAAAACCCTTTCAAACTGCAGCCCCACCATCGAACTGCCAACGGGGCTTGCAATACCCCAAGCGCAGTGTGAAGATGCCTGCTTGCCCGACAAAACAACACTGGTTCAGTGTTTATGTAGGGTTTAGGGTGAAGGAAACAAGTAAAACAACAAACACAGTAATGCTAGTACAATCCCATTTTCACTTGAGCTATAGTCTACACTCCTAGTATCCTCTTAATTAACAGCCCCTATAATACTCCCCTATATTATATAATGCCCGATATAATCCCCTTTAAGGAATTTTGACTATAGTTCACTTGAGCTAAGAGTTCAAACCTGGTCTACTTCATGCCCCAGGGGGACGGCCCGCAGAAGCCGGTGCTCCTCCACATGAAGGAGGTGGGTTTTCACAAGATGCAGAATCACATGAGCTATAGTCTAAACGCCTTAAAGGGGGACATTTAGGGGATGTTATAGGGGAGTATTACAGGAGCTAGTAAGGGGGGATACCAGGAGTTTAGACTATAGCTCACATGGAAAATCCAAAGGATGTGGTTTAGGCTTTATGCGTCAAAGTAGGATATCTTAGGAACACTCTGCAGAAAAAGGCTGCAAGATCAGGTCACAGGTGCACCATGAGCGCTGTGCGCTTGCTCCATGCTGAAGCGTTTTAAGGGTTGAGGCAGGAAGCGTATAGTCCTGTCTTCGGTTCCCTAAAGTCTGAAATGCAGGAACCACATATGGATTCTTCTTGCATTTTTTGTATAAGGAAGTATTTCCAGGCCATATCCCTAACATCCCTTAAGTTGGAACCTTGCGGGTCTTTCCTGTAGTGTCCTTAGGAATTATTTTTCATTTTCCGTGGTTGAGTCTAACCCCATTAGTAAAACTTATATAGGTTTAAGGGGAATTACAGATTCTAGGTGTGTGAGTATCCGCGAGGTGACTCTGCAAACACCCTCCGGCCACGCGGTTTTGGTGGAACGTCTTTCCTTGCAACTCAGACAAGGCTGCCATTGGCTTCACGGATTTTTCGGAGAAGAAAAGTTGAACAAATGGTTTTAATAGTAGTAATAGTAGTAGCAGTAATTGTAGTACGAGCAGTAACTGTAGTGTAGTTACTTAGTGGATAGCATAAGTCAAGTTTCAGACTACCTGGGCCACAAAGTAGACAGAACAAGGACCCCAAGATCCACAAGAACTTTCAAAAAAGGCAGTCATTCCGCATACTCTGGGAGTTCTGGTAGTCTAGTACTTGAAACTGTATGTCACTTCTCACTTTCATGTGGACCTTCGGGATACCAGCTGTGCCCACCTTCCCACCAACATTGAGACGCAACAGTTTTTGGCTACCTAGACTCAGAAGGCCCCAAGATCATGGGTACAGAGAGGCAGTATTGGGTTTAGGGTTTAGGGTGGTGGGGATTGGGTTCAAGCAGTGATTTCACATCCTCGCGGGGCTCCCAACATGGAAGAGCTGTTTTTTGAGAGAGTTGTAATTAACGTAGCTTTGTCATTGTCCAGAAAGTTGCACATTTGGTGGCAGCTGACAAGCATTCGCGAACGGCATTCTTTGTCACATATAGGCTTTCACAAACCATGGGCGCCATGGTATGTGAGGGTGCTGAGCAGACAGTGACTGTCTTTTACCAATTTTCCCTGGCATCAATACTCTTCATCCAACTGGGAGCCTGGTTGCCTTTCTGGCTTGCCCTGCGGCGGCCTTTCCGCGTAGCGGACATCCGCAGTCTTGGCAGCAAGGTCATTGTGAAGACGGAGCAACCGCACTCATTAGCACCCGGGCGTCGCTTGACTTGCTCTATTCATGACACGGGAGATCCTCGGCTTGATCAACGCCGCTTTCCTGCTCCAGAAAATGAAAATTTTGTGGCACGAGCTGTGGACTGCGTGCGGCTGGAACTTGTCGACATGCAGAACGGCCCATCCGCATCGATGGGCACTTTGCTCCCACGCTTTCCAGAAGACGTCTTTAGAACTAGCATCGCGTGCAAATATGTATCTCCTGCTGTGCATTGCGCCACAACAACATCAATCGCAGTTATGGTGTCGTGCCTCATCGCTACATCGGGTATGATTCAGATGGGCTGCGGGATGGAGGGCTTTGGAGAGTACTTGCTGGTTTTCTCCAACATGCTCGGGCCCATACTTGCTGGACTTGCTGCTGTAGCCTGGCGGCGACGACAATCAAAGCGCCCATCTCAGCTGCAGAGGGCCATCACGCAGTTCCGCCGACGGTTACTGTCAAGGTATTGTCCGACTCCACGTAAGCCAGGTCCTTTCTGCGCGACAAGCGTCTCTAGTCTCGAGGATTTTCACGATGCTTTCTCTGATTTCATCCAGGTTGAACAAACCTATTACGTTGTCGCGAACATCATCAGCCCTCTGACACGTCCTGAGAAGATGTCCCTCGCGGAGCTTCTGGGTCCCCTTGAGATTACATTCTTCGTCAGCTATGCTTGGATAGCCCCCTTCCAGCAGTTGGTGACAGCTGTCAGAGAACATGCACGAGTCTCAAGCCATGGCTCACAGGAAGAGCAAAACCTATTTGGGTATTGGATTTGTTGTTTCAGCTGTAACGGCTGGCAGCTTGAGATGGGTAATGGTGATTTATCTCAAGCTCCTTTTTGCCTGGCTCTTGGTCATGCTTCTTGCCGTGGGTTGTGCTTAGTGATGGATGAACAAGCCTTACCTCTTACAAGGGGCTGGACAGTTATGGAACTGTGGGTGGCCGTCCAGCATCAGGTGGACGTGTGCCTTTGTGGCCACCAGGGTGTTGTCGGGGATGATCGGTGCAGCGGGGACTTCCTCCGGGCCCTTGGTGATAGGTTGAGATGGATCGACTTGTCTCGCGCGCTGTGTTCCGATGAGTCTGACAGGTCTAGGATCATGCACTTGGTCGAGCAGAACGGAGGCACAGTTCAACTTCAGGAGAAACTCTCGTGCAAAGTTCAGGCCGCTTTGGACCAAAGGATGCATGAAGAAAGGCGCCAACAGCCTGAAGACCTACGAGCTACTCGCAAACGTTGGAGCGAGGAAGCTGGCATCAGCGCGTCTTACCTGCTCTCAGATGAGTTCCTCTCCATGGCGGAGGAGCGAAGCCGCAAGCAGGATCCAACCTTCTACGATTTGATTGAGGCCTTCTTCTTCAGTGACCGGCCGATTGGAAAAGACATCCGGTGCCCTCGTGACAACGAACCTGGTTGCGCATTTGTGGACGCGCTGGATATGAAGCACCAAGGTAAGGCGACAAACATGCTGTCATGGTCATGGGGTTGTCCTATTTCGCAAGTCCGCGGTGCTCTGCTGTGGTGGATGACTCAAGATAACCAGGATCCAGATACCATATTTCTGCACATGTCTGCACTTACGACTAATCATTACCGGCTTCCTTCGGTCTACAGCTGTCCTGAAGACATGTCAATGTGGAATGCTGATCTCCGCCGAATAGGCAGCATGGTGGTGCTTCTTGATACTTGGGACATGCCCAGCTACTTGCAGAGGATTTGGACGGTCTCCGAAATTGTTATGGCAGTCAAGTTACAAACGGCAGTGCGTTTGATTTGGCCTTCATCAGCACAGGCGGGAATAGAGCAGGAGTTATTGAAAGGACCTGAAGCAATCTTACGAGCGGCTGAGTCGCTCGGCAATTTTGCTGTGGAGAAGGTTGTTGCAAACCACGAGGCGTACGAGAGCAGCGTTAGACTGGGGATTGTCCAGGACTCAGCCAGGCCCTATGAAGAGACAGACCAGAAGATCAGGGCGCTAATGTTTGATATGGGCGGCCTGCCTGTCAAGGAGGCACTTGAGCGCAAGCGTCAGAGCGAAGAAGCTGGCATCAGCGCGGCATATCTGCTCTCCGATGAGTTCTTGACCATGGCTCAGGAGAGGGCCGGGACAGAGAACCCCAAATTCTATGACCTGGAAAAGGGTTTTTTCTTCAGCGACAGGCCGATCGGCCAAGACGTGTGTTGCCCTCGTGATGGCAGACCCGGGTGTGCGCTTGTTGATGCCTTGCCTGCAAGACATCGGGGTGCTGCAACTCATTTCCTGTCTTGGTCCTGGGCTTATTCTGTAAGTCAGATTCGCAGCGCTTTGGCATCTTGGCTTGCACAGGAGGGCTTGGAAGGTTCAGAGGTCTTTCTCTACATGTGCTTCTTTGTCAATAACCAATACCGTATCTTGATCGAGCAGTCGAGCACTGGCAGCGACAACTTGGAGGTCCTCTTTGAAAGCAATCTGCGCCGCATCGGAAGGGTGGTGGCTCTGCTAGACACCTGGAACAGCCCGATTTATCTGACGAGGGTCCCTCGGATTTTGCAAGACATGACCAGTTTTTGCTGCTTAGCGCTTGGTACGGATACCTGATGTCATGCATCTGTGAACCGGGAGGGGCCGCTCGTGACCGAGTTGTCCCTGACAAGACTCTGCTATCAGAACCCGATTAATTACAGCCTTACCCCAACTCTGTACTCTGAACTTCGAGACAAGACCTGGATGCTAGACTCTAAACCACAATCCAAATCATGATGAAATGTAAACTAAACCCTGAAAGTTTAAAGCTGCACCCTGACTGCAATAATGCGAAACCCCAATCTTGAATATCCTGGTCCATCAATCCTGTAAGCCCTGAAGCCTTGATCACCTCCTATAGCCCTTCACCCTTAACCCTGACCATAAACTGCACACGTTCAAGCCCCCCCTAAGCCGTCCTAAACCACATGAGGGATTGCATACAGGACTATATAGGGGTCCCATTATAGGGCCTGAATCCTGAGCCCTGAACCCTGACCCTACTCTGTAGACCTTTAGCCCTAAGGTCTGGACCATCTTTGAGCAGTTCATGGCCATCCAATTGTCCATCCCTGTGCGAATAATTATGCCCGTGGCGGCACAGGAGGGACTCATGGAACAGATCGGATGTGGGAACATCGGGCTCAATCGAGTCTGTGATTCCCTTGGAACTGTGGATTCAGAGAAGGCCCAAGCATCCAACCCCAAAGATGAGCAGAAAGTAAAGCAAATGATACGGAACTCAGACGGGTCGTTCAAAGACGTCAACGCCAAAGTGCGGAGGTTCATGTTGGATTGGGTTGGCCAGTCCGTAATCCACCACCTGAACGGCATCATCAACGCCAAGAAGGCGGCGGACGGACGCAATCTGCTGAGCTTGTAAGGATCATGGCCGCGATGCCGGTGCCAACAGAAGCCTGGAATGAGGCGCCATGCGATATGCAGAGTGACGCACAAGCCGTCGAGCAAAACAAGTCTTTGTGCTGGCTTCGCGGCCAGGGTCAGTCAGGACTGCGGTGCCAATCGTTAAGGGCGGTCCCTTAAAAGAGCTGAGCACCCTAGGTTGACGGCCAGGAGTGAGATCCATAGAAGCTTCTTCTGCCCTGCGTTGTGTAAATACCATTCTAAACCTCAACTCCTCCTCTTCTTACTTCGAGGTTGTCTGAGCTACGAAATCGGGATGCCTCCCTTTTGACAGGAGTGCCTACTGATAACTGCAGTGGCAACAGCAAGTTCTCCCAAAAGGAGGGGTGCACGTTTTTGTTCATGTTCCCTTCCCACAAGAAGTTCCTCAAATTACATTTGACAGGTGAGTCGCTGCTGCTTTGTGGGCCAAGCGGCGTAGGCAAGGTCCTAGCTGAAGGGTTTCAGGGTTTTCCTGCTTCGGGGCCGCTACAGGGCTGTACTTACCTATGCTTAGGAGTGAGTGCAGGAGTGGGAAAGAAGAATTATTGGGATTATATAAGATCACCATCATGAGGGCCATTCCCTCATTCCTTGCTAACCACAGGTAAATTACCACGAAACAAGGAAACATTCACTGGCTGCCCATGTCTTTACCTTCTGTTTACTTCAAGGGTTCCCTGCCTGAATCGTCCCATTGTTATTCGCACTGTTGCGATTCAGGCAGCCCTAAACCCTAGATCCGAAGTTCTATATATTCCTTAGCCCCTTCACAGGGACCTAAATAACACTTACTACTGCATCACAATCTCCCTGTCGGTTGACGAGACTGTCCTCACAACAATCCAATGTTAGCTTTTGTGGTACATAGGGTGGCGGGGTCTAAGTTGGTTCCCCCCTTTTTCTGGAAACTACCACGCTGCTTCCATTTTGTTGTGCTGGGCGCCGAGGAAGGCTCTCGGATCCAGTAGGTTTCCCTCTTGTGTGAGCGTTTCAAACCCTCAACTTAACTCTGAAAAATCCTGAGTCTCTCCCTACCCCTATCAACACCCGTAACGAGCCCTGCATTCTTCCTTGCCCGAACCTTTTAAAGAAACCTTATGTTATTCCTTCTATTAGTCCTTATGGCATTCCTTGTTTTATTCCCTATGCTATTCCTCAGTAGTGGCACAGGTAGGCTTCTGACAGGCAAGAGCTCATTACTTCGAAGCATTGCTGGTCTTTGGGGCCGAGGCGCAGATGGGTTCTTTTCCATTTCGCTTCGTGTCGAATGAGGGAACTGACAGAAAATGGAAACTGCTGGACTGCTTGGGGTTTGGGATTCAAGACTTAAGTTTTAGGGTTAGCCCCTAAACCCTGAACCATGAACCCTCAACCCTGACCCATAAACCGTAAATCAGGGAAGGGGGGAATGGAATATTGGGACTATATACTACCTGGACCCCAAAAGTAGGTAAAATGATAGCCCAAAACCATTAAAAAACAGCCGAAAAGGCCATTATTCTACATACTTTTGGGGTTTAGGTAGAGGCTAGCTGGCTAGTTAGGGACCAGGGATTAGCTTAGGGATGCATTCTTTCATTCCCTATACTCAGGGAATTTTCCTTTGGACCCTTAGGGTTTAGGGTTTAGGGTTTGTACCCTTGGGTTTTGGGTCCCCAAACCATGGAATACGGCCCTCAATAAGGGTATTTGGGACCTAAAACTTCGGGGTACAAACATTAGGGGTACAAGCTTAAAGTCTTTGATATACTCTGTGCGGGGCGACTAGTTGGGCGACTAGTTGGGCGACTAGTGGTCCCGTTTGAAGCCTAGAGGGTCCAAGCCACAAATTAAGGAGGCTTTAGGTCCCGAATACTATAATCTGAATGGCTCTTGGTTCCTGAAGCCCTAATATTGGCGTACTCGGACCCTTAGACAATTATATATTCCTTAGAACGGACAGGATGCTGCTTGCTTGTTTTTTGGTATGGTGTCTTCTCCCTGAATTGCATTCTGATAATGGTGATTCCTAAGAGATGCGCATATTTTGAAAACCTTCCCCGATGGCTTGCGGAATCGTGGTGAGGTTTCTTGATTGATTCCTTCAGCAAGGCAGAGCAGTATAGAGCATGAAAGGAATCCGCTCTCAGTGCTCGGCTGGCTCAGCTGCAGGTACGGGTGTCATCCGCTGCTGCCCCCAGAAAGAGATGTTCTTCTTGCCCCAAGAGACGTACCTCTGTCTGGGAACGCTTCGGGAGAACGCAACTTACCCTCAGGCAGGAGAGTGAGCAGTCCGTGCTTACCATACGGCAGCGATGCTTGCTCTACGGTCACCACATTTCATAGGCAGCTAGTGTGATGGGCAGCTTTTGTCCGTACTCAGATTCGTCCATTTCCCTCTGCTCACACGCGGTTATGGATAGAGCTCGCATTAAGGCTGCACATCCCACCTCCAACTAGGAAGCGGCCGTAGCTCCAATTGTACTAGTTCTCTTGACGCGCGTGATAGGTAGCATTCCCCGTAACGTTGTTCCACCCAATGCTATGCGCGCACAGGAAGAAGCTGGAGATAGACCTCCAGATGAGCGTGTGAGAGAGGTTCTCGCCAAGGTGGGGTGCTGACTAGCCTTGTTGACGCTGACTGGCGCTTGTTTAGTCAGATGCCGTTGCATTGAAACATTTGAAACGTGCCCAGCGCAGGCTTTGCTGTCGTCGTCGTTGTTGTTGTGCAAGACATGGAGCATGATTCAATCCAGAGAGTAGGAATCCAGATTGGCAAGGGGACCGTTTTCCCCTTCAGGACTTTCATTCCTTGCCAAGTATTACAGCTCAGCGTATCCCTCCACGGACTGCATAAACGTGGTGCAAAAGAAATATAGAAGGACTCTTCCAGAAGTAGTCGGTGCCTGAAGCTCCTCAACTACGGTAACCAAACCCGAAAATCCAAGCCATGGACCCTAAACCCTAAAGCTTGCTTGGGTTTGTCGTTGACGCCCTGAGGTGAACTTGGCATATCTTGATCACAGGTATGGCTGGGGCCTTGATATGAGAACTGTTCTGCGTCCCAGAACCCCTGAACTGTTAGTATTATTGTTAGCATTTTTATTAGTATAATTACTGCAATTACATTTTCGGGTATTGTTGCTACTGCCAGTATTACCATTATAAGTATTGTTTACGACCTGGTAGGAGGGGGCTCTAGGTTGTGCTGATGGTGGGGTTGGCCACTGTTCATGCCGCGAATCCTGATACCCTGAGGGTTCAAGGACCCAAATAATAATTTGGTTTTAGGCCCCAAGTACCATCAAGATTATAGTATTTGGGCCCTAAACCCTATTATTTCGATCCTTGACCCTTAGGGATAGTCTCTGCAGCGCTCCAATTGTTTGAGTGGGGACCTTACGCGGGTCAGGACCTGCACTCGGATCCAAAGCAAGAGGTACAGCAGCATGCTCCGCCCTGTAGCCAGCACAGTGTCAAGCCTTGTATGAAAGATGCTACGCCTGGGAGTAATACAGTTGAAAAGACCAGGAGTGGTAGCATGGTGTGCAGTACAGCTGTAGCTATGTGGCACGCAACTTGAAAACTGCTGCATCGTAGGGGGATTACGCCCACAGTCTTTGATAAGGTCTCGATGCACCCATCGACTTTGACTCTGTTCTCTCCGGAGGCAAGAGACACGGGCAAGTGGTATATTTCATCTCATTACCCTAAGGGTCCAAGGACCTAAATAGTAGGGTTTTAGGGCCCAAATACTACAATATTAGTGGTACTTGGGCCCTGAAACCTTATTATTTAGGTTCTTGGACCCTTAGGGTTACCCAAGCGATGAGCATCATATCATTGCACGAAACCAATATGTGCAGCAGGTGCCCTCCCTTGTTCTCCGATGATGGTAGAGAAGTCCCATGCCTTAGGTGATCTCCCCACTGACAATACAGACCACAAGGCATACTAGTAATGTTGGGATCCCAACAAAGTACTAAGTCCCAACATTTTTCTACAATACCAGAATAGTCAGTGGGGGGGCTGGAAACTACATCACTTATGCCTTTCCTGTGAACCGTATGATGCCATGGCTTCCTCTCAGTTAGATTGAGGTTTCAGGGTGGGCTTAGGATTTGGGGCCTAATAGGGTTGGGTTTAAAGTCTTAGGATGTTTAGGGGTTTGAGGTTTTTTCTATGCTTTTGGATCCTGCGCGCTTAAACACATGAAGGCCACGTCCAAGCAAGTCTCAGCGAGAAGACAGTGCTAGACATCCCAAATACTCAGAATACCGGCCCCTTTGCCCATCATATTGCGTTCAAAGGCTACTACTGTAAGCGCTTGAGAGGTCCAAGGTCCCTTCGAGAGCTAAACAACTGCCGCATTTGAGGCGAGAGACAGAGACTGGGTTTCGCGCGGCTGCTGCTGAGGGGAAATGTGAGCCGTGGACTTGACAAGTACTTAGGATTTGGGGTTTGCAGTTTAGGGCTTAGGCTCTATACTCGGAGGTTCTTGGGACCTACTTAGCAGGTTATGAACGATGCTATGAGTAAGCCAGTCCCAATTTGGGGACTTATAACCCCAATCGCAACCAATTTACTGAGTGCCCTGAACCTTCAAGTAGGGAACATGCGCAGATGACATGGGGTGAGAGACTCCCAAGTAAGTGCATGATCTCTAAGAGACACTCCATAATCTTTCAGCATCTCTTTATATCTCAAAACATCCTTGAGGCACCTCATTTCAGAAACTCCCTTGTTGATTTTTCATCGGTCACGGTTGAAGATCAGAGTCACCTCTCAGAACGGGATGGCCGAAGGTAGAATGTCTAGTGGACTGGAAGTTGCGAAAGGTAGGCCCCTGATATGATATTTTCCCTAATGGCCTCAATAAGGGACCCTATATACGAATATTTTTCAATTGGTTTTAGGGACCAACCCAGTACAACACAAGGAGCGTCAGCTCCAAAAAATGGCAGCAGCTTAAGGACGAAGGCCTGACTCCTCACGATGAGGTTAGCAAGCGTGCTGCCTCCAAGTAACAAAAATATATTAGATACCTATATATGTATACATATATATGGACTTATTAGTATGAATGAAATTAATCCACTCAGAATTACGCATTCCATGGGCCGGTTTGGGATGCTGCTGCGGAGCCACACTAGGGTTAAGAGGTTTAAGGGGTTAAGGTTTAGGGTCTAGGGTTTAGAGTTTGTGGGTTTAGGGTTTGGGGTGTATGGGTTTAGGTTTAGGGCAGCCAGTGCGACTTCAAATGTGAGTGGTCGGCCTTGACGGAGCCACCCACATTGGCAGAGGCTAGGGTTGAGCATGAAGATCAACATCTTTCTGACTAGCATTGCAATGCCAAGCCGACTGTACCAGGCTACGCGTCCAGGACAAGTTTCCATGCAACGCGTGCAGAACATGCTGGTTTGGTGATACTCCCCCAAGAGCCACGGACTTGCAGGACCTTAAGAGTAATCTGAGAAGCCCTCAGCCGAGGAAGTTCGCCATTCTGGATGAGGCGACGGCTGCGTTGGACAGATCCAACCAGTCCATCATGTACGACAATTTGAAACGGCAGCTCGTTACAATTGAGAGGTTCTTACTTACAAGGATCCTGTAGGATGCTTGAGTGGGCTCTTGATGATGCTGGTATGGCTGGTGTGAGCATCCGCGTGAGCTCCAAGGGTCCTGCTCTTCAGCGACAACAGGAATTGTGAGCATTGTTCACTGCACTATAGAAGTCGCGTCGGTGTGAAAGGAGATTTTGATCAAGGGCATTCCAACAATTGCAGTAGGGATTTTGTTTTTCACGCTAGCAGCTAGCAGCTTTGGCCAAGCTGTTATGACGATGAAGGTAGCAGATTCCAGATGCGTTTAGGCACATGCAGGCCGGTTTGCTCCTCACTGTCTGTAAGCACATTTTATCAGACAACAAGTTGGATCTCCAGTGTGAAAAAATTGACGAAGCCACCTTCCGGACCTTCAGGAGTGTCTCAGGGTAACGCCAACTTCCTTGTGAAGAACTCTCATCATAATATTGCAGATGTATTTCCCATACATCCCTATGTATCCCTAAGGTCCCCATGGATACGCTGATCTGACTGGTGCTCAGAAACGGGGAGAGCCCACCCCCGGCAGCTCTTCATCTTCAAGAAGCCCCACCCAAACCCTAAACTAAACCCTCAACTCAACCCTTAATTCCTATGGGCTCTCAGGACCCCCACTACCTGGTTCCCCACTACCCATCTAGACCCAAATAAGGAAGGAATATGGCCTAAATAGCAGTGGGGTACCAGGTAATGGGGGTCCAAAGAGATCCTAGGATTAACCCTACGCAAGGCATGTTCAAGGATTCGTGTCTATTGGTCACTCCTCGAGCTTGGAGGCCTTCCATACCAAGAAGCTCATGCTGGAAAGGCAGGGGCATTTTAAAATTCAGCACAGAGTAGGGTTTAGGGGTTTAGGGTTTGAGCCATAGTCTAAATTCCTGACAGGTGAGAAAACAGGGGACTATAGTAGGGGTTATTTAGGGGGATTCCAGGAGTTTAGACTATGGCTCAAGTGAGTAGCATTTTTCGGGGAATCCTGTAGTCCCCAGAGATAAAGTAAGATTGTTTCCTCCTTTCGGTTATGGTTGTTTCCAAGTATGATCCTACTAGGTTCAACCACCGAGATTAGAACCAACACATGCTACTCAAGAGTGTTCTGCAGAAAGCAAAGCCCGGAAAAGAGTATGTCGGACTATTCAGACCTCTCTACTTCTGAGGGTGCGCTGAGAGTTTGGCTACAGATTCTTAACGCGCGGAGGTCTTCCGAAGGTGCATCTGGCTGGCGAATAGAGTCCATCGACCATCCGACGTGACCTCATACACTTTGATGTGGTTGTTCTTGGCTGACCTTGTCAAAGCAGGATGCCTGGCCCTGCACCAAGCAACGAGGAATCCAGAAGGCGTCATCTCTGACAAGGTGAGAGCACCACGGCTTTGCAAGACATCGGTGACAGGTTGAGATCGCCAAGCAACGAAGATCCCCAGACTGACGACCGCATCATGACCTCCGTCCCCTGCACTTGGAGTAGATCTTGCAAGTTCCGTTGCTGCTGGCCGCGGGATCTTGAAAAGCCTCCTGCTTTGATCTGCTTTGCCTGGGAGCAACATTCTTTGGCTTGCTGATGGTTGTTGCTGTAGCCGCTTCCCAAACAGACGGTGAGACCTTTTCTTACAGTTCTTCCCACAAAATGTTTATGGGACGACGTCATCGTACGACGTAGCTGGGCAAATGATAACGACCTCATCCGAACCCCCCAACATTTGGTATATGTAGAAGATGGCGCCAAAGTGGCTTTGCTTCGGGTTTTCAAGTATTCTGAAGGTGGCCAGTATATACATATATATATATATGTATATACACCCCATAACCCCTACATAACCCATTATTGTAGTTTCCATTTTATTTTCCATTATCCTCATATAACCCCAACATAAGTCGGTAGGGTAGTTTCACAGGGAGCGCTGGTCTGCGCAGCGGCCTGATGCGAAGGAGCCCCAAGACCTCTCTTGGTACTTCCAGCAGCAGAAGCAGTTCCTTGATGACCTCAAGGTGTGGCCTGGTTTAGGGTTTAGGGTTTAGGGCTTAGGGTTTAGGGTTTAGGGTTTAGGGTTTAGGGGCAGTTCCTTGATGACCTCAAGGTGTGGCCTTCCAATTCATAAGGGTTAGGGTTGGGGGGGAGGCGGGTTGTATTATGGGGGGTTATAGGGATTCTATCGGGGGATATTACAGGGTTCACGAGCTTCCGGGCCCAAAAATGTTCTGAATCATGGACAGAAGCAGAAACAATTGGAATACGTAGAAGATTGAACATGTAGTGGATACTGGCGTTACAATGAAGGTCTAGGGTTGAAGGTTCAAGGGTTTTCAGTTCATCTTTAGGCAGAGCCTCTGCGTTGCCGTAGCAGAGTGGTGCAGCCCTTGCTGAACAGCTCTTGATCCTGAGTCCTGTAATACAGAGGCCCAAACCAGCTTAGGGTTGAGCGATGGTATCAGTTGTATATGGTTTAAGGATGTTACCCCAATGATGGAGAATCAAATCGAAGAGAGCACGACAGATACATTAGAAACTGGAATGGTAATTAGGGTGATATAGGCCGATGCAATTCAGAAGCAGAGCTTGGGCTGACGAAGTCAGAAGCACGGAGTCAGGGTTTACCATTCGAGTATTGTCCCACTTTAGGGTTTAGGGTTTAGGGATAGCATTGTCCCCCAGCCCGAATAGGAGGACTTTGCTTGTGAGTTATTGCATGTCATATCAGGAACCTTATCTTACTTGATTTAACAGAAACTTTCGGCAGTAGAGTCCCTACCTTATCCCCACCTAAAGGATTCAGAGGACTTGGTAAGCAGGCTAATTAATCATGTGGAAGGAATTCCAAAAGGGGCCATAAGTAAATTGACTACGGTGGATATTAGAAATGCTGCATGACCTAAGTATTCCATAGCAGCTCTAGCACCACAATTTTCAGAACTCAGGGCACTGAGGTAACTGTAGGATTGTTAGTAAGCACCAGAAGGCACCCCAAGGTTGACCCCTGAACCCTAAACCCGGTCCCATTATAAAAGAACTAAACCCCAAACCCTAAACCTTAAACCCCAAACCTTAAACCCCAAACCTTAAGCCCTGAACCCCAAACCCTAAATTCAAGCAAAGGACCCGACCCTGCTTCTGCCAGGTTTGCGAAGACCGGCATGATGCCTGGAACTCTAAGGCTGGACAGTACTAGTTTAGGGTTCAGGGTTTAGGGTTCAGGGTTTAGGATTCAGGGTGTAGGGTTTAGGGTCAAGGGTTTAGGGTTCAGGGTTTAGGATTTAGGATTTAGGGTTCAGAGATTAGGATTCAGGGTTCAGGGATTAGGGTTTAGAGTTCAGGGTTTAGAGTTTAGGGTTCAGGGTTTAGGGGTTCGAGGGCGTAGCACTAAGAAGCTTTCATCCAGGTAGGGCTTTGGTTTTTGAGCTCGGGTTCAGGAGTTCAAGGT